TTCCTGAATGCAACATACTTATAGCTGCTCTGCCATTGGCTATTACTGTACCTAGCATCTTCCTGGCATCCCATTGGCTAAGAGAGACCTCTACCGTCCGCAGCTGTGTGTAAATAGATGGATATGTGTCTATGCAGCATCCTCGTCATTCGCCCCTCGGGCCATGAGGCCTTCCGATCGTTTGACGAAAATGTGAATCACCCAGAAAAAGTGTTCACCAGTCGAGCGATCGCTCACTATGCTAATGTTTGCCTTGGGCATTTTCAAAGGATTGTTAAAAGCCAACAAAGGCAAAAGTCCTTGGATCAGTTCCGAACAAAACGCCAGGCAAAAAACACTTCTGAGAGAGAACATGAAATGAAGAGGGCAAAAAACGAAGAGGACGCAGTTAAAAGTTAAATGACCATCATTTGTATTTTTGACTCTAGTCTTTGTTTTTTACATTGTGCACAACTCTCATTTGTTGTGCAATCTAATTGTAACGTGTATTTGTTACATATTTTGATGCGCTTTTATGCTTTAGGAAACATTTACGTCTGAATTATGGGGAGGCCTTGGAACGAATTAGGGCATTTACATGCAAAACGCGTCTCGACTTACAAAAATGTATACGAAAGAAATTTCTTCCAGAAGCAATTAATTTCATAAGTAGAGGTACCACTGTCGTTGTCTTCCCACATTGCTGTGTACACTTGTGATGCATCGCACGGGCAACTGCATTGTCCACTATGCGATTGAAGCGGTCGAGGAGTGTCGCCGGTCCCAATTCAAGTGTACGTGACTGTCATTTGCAGAATGAACACCACTGTAACCTGCAATCGGAAACATTCTTTCATACCCAGTGGCGAGCAAGGCCTTCCCTGCTGGCCTAAACGCTATCGAGAGCACCGACCTACATTTCCGACCTAAATTTTCCCATTTCTTCAGTGATATTTGATGGAACTGAATTCATTCCCAACCCTCTTTTCTCTTAGTTGGGTCGCATTTTTCTTGGCCGAGTATGATGCATCGTATTTGAATGCTTACGTTTTGTCATGTTATAAGATGAATACATATATATTTTTTTTTATCTGCCATTTTTCTGGTATGTGGTGACATTATGGAATTGAAGTCGCGCCTTTTTGTCTTTTGATGGGTGTGCTGTCCACTTTTTAGATGCCAGTTGTAAAAAAAAAAAAGTCACACGGTGTGGGTTTTCAAGTTTAGCGGTCCAGAGTTCATTAGAATGTAGATGTAAACTTAACGCACCTTTTGCAAGCGTTATCTTTTTCAGACCTTAATGTGGTGAGTCTCTCTCAGCAACCGTACGGGAGAGTTAAAGCGCTGTTCTGTGCCTTTGTAATGTAATTTTTTTAAAAGTGTATTGAAGCAAAGGCCTCTATTTTTGTCAGCTGGACTGCATTTTTCTCACTTCTCCCTCCTCCTCAGTGTGTGGGCTGCCAGCAATATCTTGGAAAAACAGACACCGGAGTACAGATTCGGGTCCGAAACAAGAAGCCATACTGTGAGCCCTGTTATTTCCAACTAAAATGTGAGTGGTACAGTTTTACGTCGGGCCCATCTTAAATTTTCAGAAATGATACTTCCAGACTGACCTATTTTCTGTTCATGTGATTGAGATTGTTTCTATTTCACGTCAGAGTCACTTCTGTCTTGAAAAATGATCCGGTTCTTGAATAACAAAACATTTGGTGTGTTTGTCATGAAAATCCAAGTGGTATCTGTTTGATTACATTTTAGCAACCACTTCCCCAAGCGTGTGACGAGAACAAAGAACTCACGCTTGCAGAACAAGCCTCAAAGTGAGGACGATCGTGTCACTGGAGGAATACAAGGTCGACGAGGCAAGCTGTCGTTTTGAAATTGGTTATTGTTGAAAGTTTATATCAACATGACAAGTGGAATCTTTGGTCGATTTGGAGTACTCGGGGCAGTGAGTTGGAGTACTCGGGGCAGTGACCTCAAAACTGGATGAGTGGTTGCGACAGATCCCGGGAACAACATCGGACATCTCAGTCCAGAAAAGCGCAGTGCTGGGAACAGCAAGGATACTGCGCAGAACCCTCAAGCTTCCTGGCCTCTGGTAGAGGACCCGAGCTGAATGGGGGACTGACACCACCCGAGGGGTGAGATGAGAAATTTTATATGAAAAAATGTCAATAAGCGAGGTATAATGTAAAGACAATGAAAATAAGCTTTTTTTTTTTTTTTTTGGCAAATCACATGATAGGTTCTCAAAAAAAAAAAAAGCAACTTCCAAATAAGTAAATTCGCAAATGCCGACCCAAATGAGTAGTAAGTCCAGTGTACTTTTTTTCTGAAGCCCCTTTAGGTCATGGGTCCTGAAAATCATGACCACTGTTCTCCCCCTTGTGGCACCCCTGACCGTGGGTCGGTTGGCGCTTATCATAGCTGACTTTGACTAAGAGGCTGTGGAGACTCTGGATGGAACAGATAAATCACAGAGCTGGGTGGGGGGTCGGGTGGAGGGGAAGCATAAGATCTGCATTAGTTCAGTATGATACAACGCTGCCCCCTGTTCTTCACTTTCTGTTCTGCATCTTATTTAATACATTGTATTATGATGTGACTGCAGAGCACAGGTGCCCAAGTCCAGGCCTCAAGGGCCGTTATCCAGCATGTTTTCCATCTCTCCCTGATTGCGACGCACCTGATTCAAATGATCAGCTCATCAGCAAGCACTTCAGCAGCCTGATAATGATCCTCATCTTTTGAGGAAAGCGGCTTCCAAGCAATTAGTTCAGTTTGGTTTTGTTTGGATAATAAATTTGCACAAATCTTTGTAAGAGGAGTGGTGGCTGATCCAATGACTACAGGATTTTTATTATTATTATTATTTTTTTTTTTTTATTATTCTTTGCCATTTGAAACAATCCACTATCGGGCCTGAAATAGCCATTTAAGAATGTAGAGCAAGGGTACCCAAACGTTTTTGATGGAAGATCTACTTTTCAACCAACCAACCTCGCGGGATCAATCTGTTACTGCACGTGCATGCATACATACACACATGCACACGCGCACTTGTGCACACGTGCATTTACACACACGCATGCACACAGGGCTAGCCATTTTGGTGCCCTAAGCATAAATGCTTTGTGGTGGCCCCCACACCCACCCCACCGACCTTGATAAAAATGAGCAATATCTGAGTATTTGTCAGTTTTGCTTGATTTTACAAAAATAACGTGTCAATATGAATCTTTCAAAAACTTTCACAAAAATAAGAGCTAAATAATAATAATTATAATTACTAAGAATGTGACCTAATTCTCAAATAAATAAAAATAATTTAAAAAAGTAAATAAATGCCACTCCTATTAACAAATAAACATGGTTGATCATCTGAAACTTTCACTTGGCCTTGAGTTCCTCTTTGAATATTTGAAGCACTGATCCTGTATTCAAAATTACAAGACAAAATATCCAGGGATTCTACAGTGAAACATAGTTTTGAACCATGGTACAAACATTTTATGTTATTATGTAGGCCTATATTTAAAACACAGGTACATGAAAATGTTAATATTCTACCTTTATAGACAAGGACTGATAGGGCACTATATAAATATTCTGGAAATCACGTGAAAACAGTGAATGTGAAAGGAGAAATCTACACAGCTTTACGATCGACTTGTTTTCCAAATCACACTTTCACCAATAGATGTCACTCTTGCCCTATGAACATCTCGAAAATGTCGGCATAGTCGTTGCATATAAAACGACGTTGTCTTGTTATATTCCACTTAATTTTTAATAGCGTAATAATTGTGCAGGTTACAACTTTTCCACAACAGTGCTTTGGTTTATTTTTGGTGAGCTTCTATAATTGCCACTAGCATTTCTTGAGGTACAGCAGGTTTGTTGAAAGAGTACCTGCAAATGACACGGGAGTATCATCTCGTTTGTTTGTTTTTTTTTTCTTTTCCTCTTTTCTTGTTGCCTTTTCAACAACATGTCCAGATATCCCAAAATAAACTTCTGCCAAAGAGAGCGGGGTGGCTGGGCACCAAAGCTCGACGGATGAGAGGTGCACACAGGAGATTAATCTCTTTTCACATTTTGCGTTCTTATTGTATTGCATATATTTATTAAAACACTTTACAAACCTTTTGTCACGTTGCGAGCGAAGCGGAAAGGAACACGCTTCATTCGCAACAAAATTGAAATATAGGATTCCCGAAACAGCAGACACCAACAAGAACTCCGTATGAAAATAATATTTATTAACAAAAACCGCACCGCCGAAAATAGACAACAGAAAACGCTGGTCAAAACGGGTACCAGGAAAACCTGCAAAAACCCAATAACAAAAAACGCTCGCACTAAGACAAGGGAGAAAAACAAGCTCGAATACAAATTACACACGACGAAATGACTACACCAAAAAGAACCGACGAATATACCTCGCGCACTAAGACTAATACGAAAGGCAGCAAAGCAGTGGCACGGCAAGCAATTCTCCGGCAAGTTAGAGTCAGAAAGGCAACCTTAATAAACAGTGGCGGTTCTAGATCAGTTTCACTGAGGGGGCCGGGCTGGGGCCGGGGGTTTTGATGGAGGGGCACATTCAACCCAGGGCTAAAAAGACAGATTCGAAATATTATTTGACTTTTTATTTCATCAAACTTTCAAAGCATTGTAGTCATAACATTACAGTGATGAGAAAAAAACAGTATTAGGAGAGCTAAAATATCTGCAAGCGTAACAATACGCTGAGTCCATCTGTTGAGAATATTTTAGCCAGGGGGTGGATATTGTACCAGCCTGCCTTGAAGCTCCTTCTCCTGTCCCCCATCAGGGTCCTGGGAAACTGTTTTAGCTCTGGCTGCATTGGCAGGTCCTCTTTCCATCGACTGATGTCTGTGGACAAAGACAAACCAAATAAATGTAAACACAAGTTCTGCATGGACACAGCATATACACTAACCCGGTACACTTAGATTGCTGAGGCTCTCAGACATATACAAGTGTCTAAAATGTATTGATTGATGCTATTTATTAATTGGATTAATTAGTTTTTATTGTATTCAATAAATATAAATTAATACATTCTCAAGCCTGACCAGGGACTAAAATTGCAAATACACTGAAGCTAAATGTTTTACATGCATAGAATTATCCAAATTTTAGAAGGCAATGTCTTATATATTGTTCCTGTTAAATAAAATTTTAAATTAAAATGGGATACTAAAAAAGTTACACACGCACGCACACACACACACACACACACA